TTACAGATGCTACGATTTTTATGCTCGGTAAACCCTTTGCAAGCGGAAACGACGAAATCAACTATGGGCTTTGCCATATTGCATTCTAGTAAGACTGTATAAGACATTCAGTGCGATCTTCCAACGACATGGCTGCGAATTGCCTGTGGTTAAACCTGAGGACTATGCAGTCTTGGTTATTTATCATCGTCAATCTGTCATCAATTTTTTTCAACCTTACTCAGCAAACTGAACCCCAATAAGTCGATATTGGATTCCTCTTTATAAGAACTGGCAGGATTTGTGCTTTGCAGTTTTAAGCCTCAAACATTCAACTTCGAAAGCAAATAATTCAGTTTCTGCAACAGTATAGATCAACGAGATTTTTAATTTACCTTTTACGAGTTATGACTTGCTTTGACCTGCTGTCCATTTTTTCCCGTCGATTAAAACCGACCACGGCGAGGGGAACAAGCTTCTGGCTAAAAGAAATTATTACAAGCGTTGAAGAAGCTCTTGTCGCATCAATAACTGCACTCAAAACCCTTTACAATGATGCCAAAGGACAAATTGTCGCGTTGCCTCGGTCGTACCATCAACGATTAATATGAAGCAGAAACATTTTCCCATGTCATCACCTCTGCAAGAGGTTTTCAGTGAAATGTTTTCAAGACTGTATAGTGACTAAAGTCTTGTGCAACTTGTCCGCGGCCTTGTACGGAAAAGAGTCATTTTCACGCTAAATCATAAAAATTCTTTAAGGGAAGAAATATGGGAAGAGGTGGCGGAAGCTACAGTGGCATGGTTTCAAAGACATTTGAATAAATCCGAAGGAATTCCTATTAGCATCGCTGTTCTCGTTTTTACAACGATCCTTGTCGCGTTACGAACGCTCAAGAAGAAGGTGATGAACCCAACGACCACAACCCCGGCGTCGAGAATCTACCAGCAGTCGGGAAATTACACTGAAGGAGATGGGCCCAACAACGTTGCAGATACTTGGAACGACGGACGAACAGCAGAAGAGCCGATCCATTGCGCCAGCTAGAAAATTCATCTACGTCACAGAACTGCTCCCTACTTTCAGTGAGACGAGAATGTGTTTGTCTAATGTTTGGTAGATGCAACTGGCAGCATGTTATGTGCAACGTTTGGTACACGTGATTTAGAACTAAACTGAACTAACTTCAGCGAGTAGTTGCCAATTTCTGCACCATAGAAAAGACGCGTGCAAATGATAATTAGCTGTCATAAAATAAAGTTAACTAAAACTTACCCCAGTTGTCAGATGTTGATTATCGTGACAGCAGTATAGTCCTTTCATTGTTCGTCATGCTGCTCTGTGAACGCGAAACAATACTTCGCAGATTTTACCTCACAACTACTCACACTGAACCGAAAGATTTACTTTCAACTGTTCTACTGGAATCCAGTATTTCAACAAGCTACGAATGACAGCTGATCGAGAGTTAACGTACACCATTTCAGAATGAGCTCTCTTTTGGCATTTTCGAAATAAATGGATATATTACTGAAGGCCTGGAGCATTGTTGCTACCGAAGAAACATGCTGAGCTGATAAAGATGCTGCTAATCGGATGTACTTCGCATTTTGGGTCGCGATGGCTATTTCGCACCAGAAAGAGTTTATCACTTTGACGTGGGACAGTGAATACTGAAGAGCTAATACATTAGGTACGTATACTGCATGTGCATGGCCATGGATCCAAAATTTGCCCGCTCTATAAAGAAGTCAAATTTACGCAATATGATGCGCCAGAAGTGACGATAGATGGTGCAAATGCATTTGAAGTACGGTCTAATCAAATGTCCCGGTATCCTTCCATCCCAATCGTGCATGATTTGCCGCTGTCAGGCTACTCCACTATGTGGCCAGAGAGCTAAGATAGATCTGATTGGCACAGTATATGCTCAGAGTGTTAATTGTAGCAACTGGCTGCGACGACAATCAAGTCATACGGTCTTATAGTGATAATGTAGTTTTAGTATAACAGGACAAGTCAACGTGTAGTTAGACATTCCGTCGTCGTGCACAAGGCAAGCGAACTGTTCATTATTACGACCAGACTATGAGAGGCAGATACTGTAATTAAGTCTTCCTCGAACTACCGCTGGGTCGCGTTCATGCGGACAAGGGCTTAATTCAGTGTTCTGCGTTATACGCCACGCAATTCCAACGCAGCAGTTGAAGACCCTGAAAAATTAGGGAAAAAACTGTTAACTGTCCGCTCTGGAGCTTATCGTTCAAACACATGATAAACTGCTTATCTGGGGG